CCCCAAAACCCCAAAACCCCAAAACCCCAAAATTATCTTCATGGCTATTTTTTTAAATATGGGAATAATTTGCAGCACGTTGTTGGATGATGATTTTACTAATCAATACAAAAGAATTCACGGGAATGCCCATTCCGTGAGACTTCACCCACCAAAGGAGAAGAAGAGAGCTGAATGTAAGTTTAATATGAGTGGAGGAGAGCAGAGGAAGATGGCTGTGCGGGTCTGGGAGGTTAGAGAAGTGATAAGTGGAGGGGTTTAGGGGGGTTTTGGGGGGTTTTGGGGGGTTTTGGGGGGGTTTTGGGGGTTTTAGTGGTGAGAGAGGGTGGAGAAGTTGGTTGTGGGGATATGGTGGAAAGGAGGGGGTTAGGATTTTTGGGGGTGTTGAAGTGTTCATTTTTAAGGATGATTTTGTGGATATTAAGGTTTATTTTGAGCGAATGAATGGATTCTCACTAAAGTAGACCCAAAAATGCAGTAAAATATGCTTTCTTTTGGTAGATTTTTGCTACCCTAATTAGAAAATTTTTCAAAATGTCTGGGGTTTCTGAAATTTTATAGTAACCACAATTTTCATACCAACTCAAACTTTTATCAAAATTATTTTTCCAGAATTTTCATATACAACTGTCATTTTCAAAGCTAACCAAGAATATAGACCTAATCAGTGAAATTCAACCCGAAAGAGTGAACGAGGAGAAGCCTCAAAATGGACAAGTAGATCTTTGTCCATGGACCGCCATGAACGGTCCCCCGTCCGCTCAAGTCCAGGCTGCTGAGAAGCTAGCCAAAAGAAAACTCAAGGCCGCCCTTAAAATTGTTGAAGCCAAGAAAGATGCCGCTCCAGCAAGAATGTACATGGCTTTGAGAAGATAATACTCTTTACATTCAAATTCAGGCACAATTACTCTTTTAAAATCTACTCATGCATGGTATTTGCTATAAAATACCAAAAATTCTATTTTTCCTAAATTGGAACATAGTTCTACTCCAAATATCCTGAGTTTAGTACCGGAAAAATAATCACCAATTCTCTCATATAGTATAAATTATTTCTATTGGTATATATTTAGAAGGGGTTTTGGGGTTTTGGGGTTTTGGGGTTTTGGGG